TGAGGCACCTGCAGGAAGAGGGCGCGGGCGGGGGAGGGTCTCTGCAGCGGCACCAGCTGGCAGTGGCCACGCCGGCCGAACCAGGACGGTTCAGACCGGGCCACCCTCCTCCTGGGTGGGGCCATGCAGCTGGTCGTGGACGCAGGACGTGGGGCTGTGCTGGGACCCGAGTCCTGACCCATGCAGCGTCCTGTCCCTGCCACACCGGCTGCTCCTGGGAAGCAGGGGGCGGGGGACCCACCATCTCTGGGTCATCGGGGTCGTCACTGGGCGGCTGCCCTGGGGCAGTGACCACGGCGCCTGCTCCGTGTGCAGGAAACTACAACCTCTCGAGTGTGCTGCCCACGGCCCCCGACATGGCGCAGCTGAAGGAGGGCGTGAGGTCCGTCGCCGGGAAGCTGTCCGTCTTCGCGAACGGAGTCATGACCTCCATCCAGGTCCGTGGGGCTGCGAGGACGGGGTCTGAGGAGGAGGGTGGGCTCGTGGTTGTGAAAATGAGACTGGGGCCACTCTTCAGTCGCAAGGAAATTCGATTTTATGTCACTGATCTAGATGTCTGCTACGTGTGACCCAGCACATCACAAAAATCAAGTTACCATTTCCTGCTTGTTTAAACTTTCTAATTTATGACCCTGGGGGAATTGTTACAGGAATTATCATGTCCTTATCCACTCCTTTCCTACATTGGAACAGAAATATTAAGAAAGTAAAAATGACTTTTTTTTTAATCTTTAAAAGGCATTCTATGCATATCTTTTCCAAATTAAAAAAGATTACATTGTGTATATGCAATCCTGCATTTATATGAGCATTTCCGTGTGAGTAAAAATTCTTCAAAGCCCACATTCTTTGCCATGGGAATACATGGAATTTACGTCACAATTCTCGGCTGGCTCTCGAGAGCACTCCCACCTCTGGGCGGGCAGGCGGCAGCTGGTGTACCGGTGGGGAGCGCAGGCTCAGGGTCATTCTTGTTATTACTTATAATTACTGTTGCTTCCCACACACCTGTGCACCTCCTTTGCCCACCCTGTGTAGCAGCCCAAGGCCGCCCTGATTGGGCGAAAGGCTGCTCTCTGAGCCTTCTGTTCACGTCAGGTTATTGCCAGGGACTCTGTTGCGAATGTAAGACGTGGGCCCAGTTATAATGCCGAGGTTGTGAGTTCGAGCCTCACCTGGAGCACAAAAAGAAAAAAGAAATGGCCCCAGGAGGAGGGCCTGGTGGGGCCTGGTGCCTGCAGGGTTCCCAGGAGGGGGCGGGCCCCCCGGAGAATTCCGGAGCCCCCTGCTGAGGCCCGGCGGGGAGTGAGTGTCTGGTTGGGAGGCAGAGCTGCTCACGTCCCCGGGGAGCTGAGCCCATCAGTCCTGCCACGAAGGTGACCGTCCTGGTGACAGATGAGCATCCCATCCTCCTCACCTGGAGGTGAGCCCTGGAGGCGCAGAGAGCGGGAGTGCGCCCTTCAGCAAACCAGAGTCCGGCTGGGCCTCCACTGTGCTCCTCTGTCCCCTCGCACCTGCCTCTGGGCTCCCCAGGCAGAGCCAGGCGGCGGCAATGAGGTGAGGACTTGACTCTCACCCGGGCTCTCTCTCTCTCTCCGTAGGACCGCTATGGTTCCTAATCCTGATGTCATGTGCTTCCTGGAGAAATTCCTCGTTAAGGGACCGAGGCCCGCAGACTGCAGCGCAGACGGCCCGTTCTGCTGCCTCGGCCCGCGGCCTAGACACGGCTGCCGTCACCTTCCCTTTGGTGTAGAAGCCTTCTTGTCATTTCTGTTCTGTCACTTCCTGCACATGCCCTCTTTGCCGTCCACGCATATCCTCGCTTTATTTTCTTGGAATCTTTAGTTCTGACAGCTGGGGGCCTGGAGACACGGCCCCTCCCACCCCCTGCGAACAGAGAGCCTTGTGTGGGGCTCTCAGCGTGTACGACCATGGGCTAGGGACTCGGAATCCGCCGGTGCCAGCTGGGCCTGGAGAAACGAAATTCACAACAGACATCTCAGTAAAAATGGAGCAAAAAATAAAAACAAAAGACCAAAGTGACTGGTGTCTAATTGACAGATTGCTTCATTTATATTTGCACACAGGTGATTTCAAAATAATGTTTAAAGTCACCTGTCCCCTTGTAAATGGTTTATTTTGTATGATCTGTAAATTCAAAAATAATTTCAGTGAGTGCTTTTAACAAACCTAAGTTTCTGCGTTGCCAGGGAACTAATCTCTTGACAAGGTGTGGCTGTTTGAATCTATGCGAAATATAAGATGAGAACTCCCTAAGTGCATTTATAAATCGATAGAATGTTCAGAATTAAAAATGAATAAGGTAAGATGATACACTCACGGGAAACATTTCAGTACGTGGGAAAATAGTAGTAATTGGGTAGTTTTGTTAATATTTTCTATCTTAATATTTGTTTTTAAAAAATTACAGAATGTGTATAAATAAATAAAATAGCCTGGCTGTGTGTCCGACAGCATCGGACGCATTGTTCAGAACAGTGAACTGTATTGGAATGTGATGAACCAGAGACACAGCCTCAGCTGAGTAGTTTGTGAATCTTTCTTAAAGCTCCAGTGATCAGACTCTGAATAAACAGTTGCAGCAGGTGCGTTGCCGACTTTTTTTTACCAAAGTTTATGAGACGAATGATCGTACATGGGGGCTCACGGGTGTGACATGGGCGTGCATTTGAATGACACAACTACGCTGGACTTGGTGTTTTGTTTTGTTTTGTTAATCTGAGGGTATTTTTTCCTTTTTTTTCTTTTAAGAAAGGGAGGGAAGGAGGGAGAGAGAGAGATACATCCATTGGTTGCCTCCCACACAGGCCCCAACCAGGGCTGGGTTTGAACCTGCAACCCAGGCGTGTGCCCAGAGGCCAGGGCTCGCCGGGTCTGTTTTTAATGTACGTTTGGGGCCTGATGTCTCGTCATTAACTGAGGGAGCGCAGTGGGCGGGGCGGGGGAGTCCTTGCTGAAAGTGAGGTGAGCAGAGGCATCTTTCAAGCCCAAGGGCCTCTCATAACAAGACCCCACAGGCGGGGCTTAACAGCAGAATGCGACACAGCATCCCGGAGGCCAAAGGCCCAAGGTCAAGGTCAAGGTCAAGGTGCGTCGGGGGGCCTGTCTCCAAACAGCCCGCGGGAGTGAGGGCAGCGCCCAGCCCAGCCCAGCCGTGTCCGTGAGGAGTCCTCCCACGGGGTGTCCTGCCCCCGGCGGGTGCCTGGCTGGGTCCGTGTCCCAGGAACCTGCTGGGTTGCGGGTTCGACCCCAGACCTGGTTGGGGCGCGTGTGGAAGGCGACCGGCACAGGCTCTTTCCCATTCCTCAGGGGGCGGTGGGTCGCTCCTGAGTGTGCCCTGCTCTTCCTCAGCCTCGGGGTCCTCATGGGGCCTGGGCAGCCGCCCCCCATCCCCTCGCCAGGGCCCCAGCTTCAGCGCCTGGCGGGAGGTGTTTCTGAGCGGAGGGGGGCTCATTACCCCCAGCACAGGTGCCTTTGTGCGTGTGTGTGTACATGTGTGCACGCGTGTGCATGTGTGTACGTGTGTGTGTGTGTGTGTGTGGCCTCAGTGTTGTGTTAGAACAACGTGCGTGAGTGCTTATATAGTGAAGAGCACGGCGATTTGACAATCCAGGGCCAGATGTTTCTGGGGAACGGGGGAAGCGGAGCAGGAGGGGAGGGGGTGCTCCCGTAGCTCCCACCAGAAAGAATTGGGACGTTTTTATCTCCTTGAAGAGCCGTTGGGAACGTAGGTAAACAAACAGGTGTGGGTGCTGCCTTGGAGACGAGGACGGCAGAGTCCAGAGACCAGAGACGGGGAGGAGCAGCCGGGGGACGCGGGGACAGAGCAGAGCCAGCCCCGCTCCTCCCGGGCCGCTGGCCTCGGTGCTCCCCAGCGCCCGCTCTGCCGGGACATGGGGCGCTGGTGTGAGTGCCCTCAGTCCTGCAGTGCTGCCCGGGCAGTTCACAGCCCCTCCTGCCCACAGCCTGGCCCCAGCGCCCACGGGGGGCCCATGACCACACCAAAGAGGCTGCTACGGCGGGTGGACTTTCACCCATCCCCCAGGATGCACGGTGGCGGTGGCAGGGGCAGGACTCGGGCACCCTGGCCTCGGGGAAGCCTGCCACTGGGAGTCGGGGTGACTGACCCCCCAGTCAGACTCTGAGGACCCAGTGCTGGCCCTCCCCAGCCCTGACCTCTGCTCTGCTCTGCGGTCACAGGAGCCAGACGGCTGCTTGTGCTGAGTCTGTGGGTGGTTGTGAGGCCACGTGCTCGCCCCCCTCTTCTCTTCCTTCCCCTCCTTCCCCTCCCCTCCTTCCCTTCCCCTTTTGCGGGAAGCCAGTTCCAGCAGGTCATAATTTCAAGAGTTTCATCAAAAGGTTGATGGAACTTGGGGATGCAACAAGGGCTGAGTCACATCTGCTGTCACCTGTTGGGAGTGGCTGATGGCATTTCCCAAACCTGAAAAGGATGCATTAAATTGATGGTTTGCTGCCAGACAGCTCAGGGCATCTTCATCCACATGTTACTGCCTCCTGCTGGCCAAACACCTGAACACCGTAGGCAGTTCCCCAAACTGACAATGGACTCCCTATAGGAAACCCTGACCTTTGGCGTGTCTATCTCCGCCTCCCTCAGGACAGTTTGTGTTAATAAAAAGCACGGGGTCCTGAGACGAGGAGACCTTAGTTTCTTTTAAACTAGGCTCCTCTGACCCCCAATGCCTTTCAAAATTATGCTTCGTCTCTGGACTGAAGTTGCACACAGCCTCCTGATGCCGGAACAAGAACCCCGGCCTCCTTTCCTCTGTGGTTCTCATCGCTGCCTCCCCAGGCCATGTGTCTCCCTAAAGCCGGGCGCCGTGGCAGGAAGGCCAGCAGGGACCTGGCACGGACGGATGGACGGTCAGACGGACAGGGATAGTGGGGAGCAGACACCAGGGGTCTCCGGCCACCAGGCTGGTCTTGCAAACAAGCTTCTGTGGCCCGTCCCTCCCTCCCCTCCGTCTGTGCTGGTCCCTCTCCGGGGCCTGGACGCACCCCTCAGGCGGGGGAGGTGGGGACACTGTCCAGCCCCCGCGAGGAGCCCGCTGTGCTGAGGGCCCGCCCTCAGAGGCCCCCTCCCCGACTCGTCCCGGCAGCGCCGCCTGCACCAGACGTGACCTCTGAGCCCTGAGCCCAGTTCCTCTCTCCACCGGCTGCCCTTCCTGTCACCTGGTGGCTGTGCCCTGGTCTCCACCACACCCGTGGGCACAGGCGCTGCCTCCCTCAGGGCCCGGCTGGGGAAGGTCGTGTGTCTGCTCAGCACCCAGGGCTCCACCTGGGTTTACATCCTCACTACCGGGCACCCTGCCATCAATGGGGTCCCGGAGCCCCCACTTACTCCTGGGTTTGATTGCCTCAGGTCATCACTGTATCTGGATTAGTTAGTCTGAGTAGGCAGAGTGTCTTTGAATGTATCCTATGCCCAGATCTGGGTAAAGTGGTCCAAAGGTTTCTATGGCAGATTGGAAACAGAAGTTGATGTGTAAGGATTGTTGACTCCTGGTAGGATTTAGAGTTCCCTGATGCTTAAAGTATATCCCTCTGGATTTATAGATCCTGCCTTGTAAAAGCATGGCATCTAAGACCTGAGGATGGAATAATCAATGCATACCCTTTCACAACACCATCCAGGTGCTTCCTTCAGACCTAGATGCCACACAGATAAAATTATGGAGGCATTGGCTCCTTTCTGCTCCAGAGCCTGAGCGCCCAGCAAGGGCCCCAGACCCCAGGGGCCTCCCCCGGCCCTGCCCCTCGCCAGCCCGGGCAGCCAGCTTCATCTCTCTTTCCTGCCGCTCCCCGCGGGCACCTCTGCCAGTCAGGAGCCCTCAGAGGGAGGATTAGGAGCTGGTTCCAGGGGTGAACAGGTATGAGGGGTGCAGACACCCTCGCCGTTCACCCGGTCTTGTGGAGAGAAGAGCAGTACCACTACCTTGAGGTGGCAGGGGGGGTGGGGAACCACAGGAAACAGCTGAGCTCCCCTGGAGGGGCCCCAGCACACAGTAGGTGTGCAGCCTCAGGCCCTTAGGCGAGGTGGGGTGATGAGGGAACGGGTTCAGAGATGCCAAGGTATTAAAGGGCTTGTTCACAATCTCCTGGGGGATGGGCATGACCTGCCCAGACCTCCCTAACCAGCCCGGCACAGGAACCCCCACCCCCGCCCGCCCTGAGATGCGGCCCCAGTGTCCGGGCCAAGGCCCAGAGCTCCCTCTGCAGTCGTCGCTCTCAGACCTGGGTGATGGACTTGGGGTTTGACGCCGCCAAACCTGAGACGAGGAGCAGAGGCCCGAGGCCTCGGAGCTCCCACCTTGTCCAGGTCCAGCCTCGCTCCTGGCGGGCGGGCGGGATCTGAGGGCCCGCTCCACCTCGTTTCGCCAACTGAAACCGAAGCCCAGAGAAGCAAGGGCGTCGGGGTCCAGACTTGAACCCGGGTCTCCTGGCTGTCCCCGGTAAGACGTCCCCGAGGCCTCTCAGCCGCTGCCAGGCTGGGGCAGGCTGTGGGCTGCGGGCAGGGAACGCGGAAGAGAAACCGGGGATCATCCCGTAAGTGGCCGTCAGAGGGGCTCGAGCCAGGAAACCAGAGGGTGAGTAATAGAGCTGCC